AAACATACATCTATAGAAAGAGGGTCTCAGGAAATGGGAAATTTTATTCCGTGAACACTATGAGCAAGTGGAAGCATTGGAAAGTCTCCGCCGTTCGCTTTAGAAGTCTCCGTTTCAGCTTTCAAGTTCACATTCACATTCCAGCCAAGACCCTGATGGCACTCTGCCAGCCCCGTACCTTTGATTAAAGACACTTGGCAACGTCCAAGGAAGAGCTGGTCCTTCATGACTGAGAGCTGCATGGTCTGTTTCTGATGACGCCTGGGGGTCCCTTTCTTTTTCTTACCCATTTCCTTCCCATTTGTCCTCCCTTCTCTTATTCTTTATTGGCGTCTAACTCCTGCGGTTTTCAATAGTGTTAGTTTACAATTTTCTGGTAGTTTTGTTTTTTTGGCAAAATATGAGCTAGCTTATTTAATTTTGAATTATGCTTGTCAATCTATGTGGTTTTAAATGAAAGTTGACATGTACTCTGGATTACTAATATAAAATTTTATTAAGATACTCCGTTATTGATTTTTAAAAATAAGTTATTAATAGCACAACCTGAAGGAGTTTCAATGGATTGAAAGACCCCCTCCCTTGATTTAAGTCAATTGCTGACTAAATAGAAACCACTTAATTATTAAACATTTCCCTCATGTTCCATATTGAAATTATATATTATTAGTTCATTCACATTCTACAAAATTGAAATGGAAGAAGTCTTTTAAATTGAGTTAAATAATTTATCACTAACATATTTTATCATGTAGGGGCCATTAGGCTGTCAAATTAGTAAAACATATTACTATGTATTCTTAAATGCTTTCATATAATTAATTCATTATCTTCTGTTTTAAAAGATTTTTAAGACAGCCAATTCTTAAAAGCATTTCCTTGAGCTTGTTTTCAAACAACATACTTTCTCTATCATGAAAGTTGCTACCTTAAACAAAATAACAAATTAAAAAATATCAGTCTTCTAGGCTATGAGCACCATCAAATCAAGAACTATATTTTCTGGCTTATTTGTAGTCTTTAATACCATCAAAGCCCCTAATGATTTTTAACCATCATTCAACACTTCTTGAATGAATAGCATAAAATGGAATCAAAGAAGCTGTAACCTAGTAGCCATGTGTGGATAAGTCCTATGATTTTCTGCACATGAAAATGTTATGTTATTTGCTATAAAACAAGGAGAATAGTCTCACATTTTGTCAGCTCATACAATTTAATCAATCATACAGTAAAATACCTGTTGTTAAGTAAGTACCCCCAGTTATGCACCATCCTTATTATTGTTGTGATGCTTGAGCATGCAGGATAAAATCGCATTATCCTGTGTACTTGGAGACATTTAAAGAATCAGATAGATAGTCGCGAAGTGACAGAAAAAAATGTGTGGGTATAAATGAACTGGGGGTGGGTACAAAGTTTTCTAGATAAACAGACTAAATGTGTCAAGGCACATATATGCAGATGTGAAAGAGATGGGGGTATGGAAACCATACTTGTTTCTCTGATAGGGTACTAGGCTACCGATGAAGACCCTGGTGTGCCCGTGCCCACCGTTGTCCTTAGAGAAAAATAATCAGCATCTTAGTTCAACCTGAAAACAGGTGGAACAAACAAGCAAACAAAAACACAGGTGGTTCATATCCACCTTTATTCAAAGTCCGCAAGAGTGAGTCAACACTCCCGCTCCCAGAAAATCATTTATAGAGTCTCTGTCATTACCATGAAGACTATTTTCTCTTCGGCATCTCCAATCCTTATCTCTTAGCATTTTCTTCCCAAGAGACACATGGGAAGCACATCAAATCAACATGTCCAACGTTGAGTTTCTTGTAACCTCTAGTTTTATGCAGTTCTCATCCCAAAGTACATCTCTAAATTGCATTCATACTATCTCTCTCTCACTCTCTCCCACTATATGTTCTTCATCTTGTTAATGACACACAACCTCCATTCACCTCTGTGTCTATTAAAACTCCCTTCTTGTTTTCCCTGCCCTCTTCTCTACCTCATTAAAACGTAATCTTTTCCACTTTTCATAATCATCTTTCTAAACCAAGCCTGTTCCGATTTTGTCCACACCTTGCATTGGGCACTTAGCTAGTTCTCCAATGTCAAAGCGCTTATCATTTGGCTTCTACATGCCTTCCAAATGTTTCCCTTTCCAACCGCAGTCTGCCTTTGGCGTGGTCTGAGTACACCCTCGCAAACACCATGCCCTTCTTTGCTGATGATCCTCAGATTGCATGTGCACTCTTTTCTCTGATTCACAGTGAAATGTAACTTAATGTGTCCTCTCCTCGAGGATTTTGCTACTCACCCCTATAGGGTTTCTCCTCTTCCTCCTCTCTCCCAACATAATATTGTGGCATCTTATTGTTACATGAATTCTGAACTTTGCCTTGTACTAAAGTGAGATATCTAAATATCAGCTCACGGAATGGCAAACAAACAAACAAAACCGTCAGAAACCAGGGCCTACATTGCTGCTTAGAATGTTTTTACCTAATCAATCACACTTACATAAGATTCACTCAGGTTTGTTAATCCTGCCTTCTTTCCTTGCCCTAAAGATTGTCTTACCTCCTCAGATGCTGTATCTTCAAGCTAAGAAAACACACTTCTCTTCTTTTGAGAAATAGAACAGATTTCCATTGTAAGTGGTTGCTTACACAATCAGCGACTAACCAAAAGATTAGCCGTTTGAACTCACCAGCCACGCCATGGGAGAGACTTGTGGCAGCCTTTGAAACCCAGTAGGGCAGGTCTACTCTGTCCTCTATAGTTGCTATGACTTGAAATGAATTAGAGGACAATGGGTTTGTAATATAAAGTCACCCAAACCTAATAGAAACAACATTGGTTACTTTCTATTTGCTCTGTTCTGAGGCTTCCGGCTCCCATCTGGGCTCTTTTATCCTTAGCACTGTGCTAATGTGCCATTTTATGTTTTCACTCTTTTGTAGCTTATTGTGCTGTTTTTCAGATCATCTGTTTTGTTGAAGAACTGTTACCAAAAAAGATCCATCATGTTCCATTATTAGAATCTTGCATCTAAGCTGTGAATATAACTCCTCCTTCAGAACAAAGGCAGGGCATGTTTCGTAAGTGATCATCAACCTAAAGTAATAATGCAAGCTTACCTGGTAGCATTAAGCTAAGTGAAAAAGATCAGTTGTAGAGAAACTCATCTTACGAAGAACTGGTCTGAATTATTCACTTTTAATAGTCAATATGGAAGAACACGACATACCCAGCTTTTATTGAATTTGTGCTTGCATTCACAAATCCCAAACATTCCGTTTTGTACTAGCAGAAAATTGTATGTCATATGATGGCTAACAGCAGATGCATTCTGGGAGGTGCAATAGGATATGCTACGATAAACTGAATCATGGGCTTTTTCAAGGGTTTTACTATCTAAGCAGACGATGTGCTTCTATCAAGACCAGCCAGTAAAAACAGATAGTTGTAGAATAAAACCACAATGGTAGTGCTACAATGAACAGCATAGAGGAAATGATGGGGGAGAGCTGTGAGCTGAGAGAATCCAGGCTGGAGCAAAGCAATTGGAATTAGTGGAAAGAAAAACAACAAACAATGGAAGAAAACCACATTGGGGTATTTGTAACATGGTAAAAAGATCCACTTTAAGCAGAAATGTCCGGTGGAGATAAGTCTTGAATAATATCAGACAGAGGAAATAGTCAATTTGAGGTGGATATGGTTGGCTGGAACGAGAAGCCTGGACTTTATTCTGGATCCAAGAAGAGAGGATGACAATCAAATGG